CCCCAAAACCCCAAAACCCCAAAACCCCTTCCAGTTTGAAATTAATTGATTTAAACAGAAGATACTTGTAAATTCTAATGGGAGATTATTTCTTATTGGAGATACTATCAGGAATAGTTGGTTGGATGTACTTTGTACTCTGGTCATTAACTTTCTACCCTCAGGCCTCTCTTAATTGGAGCAAGAAGTCGGTAGCTGGATTCTCAATTGACTTTGCAATACTTAATGTATCTGGCTATATGTTCTACTCATTATTCAACTGGGGAGGCTACATCTATTCAGGTTTAGGAACCGGGATAGTTCAAACAAACGATCTATTCTTCTCTGTGCACGGATTGCTCCTAGCATCAGCACATCTTTCCCAGGTTTTTATTTATAAAAGAGGGCATCAGAAGCATTTCAAAAGATGGTCACTTATCACTCTTGCAATCCTCTGGGGTTGAGTATCTTTAGTCTTCTTGCTTGAAGGAATCATTCTTCAGTATCACCCAAGCCATTCCTTTTTAGGTAAGACCTGGGTCAAACTTTTAAGATCTAATGTCTGAAAATATCCAGAGGATGTAACCTTAACGAATAATATAGGAATTTCAAAGATACCAATAGATCTCAATACACTCCGAATGGCAGGATATGGCAAGGCAGTCATCACTTTCCTGAAGTATTGACCACAAATATACTTGAATTGGAGAAGGAAAAGCACAGAAGGTTACAGTATCATGAATGTGCTATGAGATTTTTCAGGTGGAGTCCTCAGCCTCTTCCAGCTTGTAATAGACATGATTTTTAATGGCTTAACTAAAGGAGAATGGTCATTATTGGGAAGTAACACTAGTGCTTTTAATTTCATAAAGTTTTTGTTGGGAATAATCACTATCATTTTCAACATAATCTTTATTATCCAGCACTATTTGCTCTATCCTTCCAAGCGCAATGACCCTCTGACACTAGAGTTAATCTCTTCTACAGACAGACGTATGGTAAAATAATTTGTTATCCCTAACAAGTCTCAGTCATCTTCAACCTGGAACAATTGAATAGGGGTTTTGGGGTTTTGGGGTTTTGGGGTTTTGGGG